ACAATGTACAAATGGTTTAATCCTTGTTTATTTGGTAGTCAAATTAGAATGAATGATAGTTCCATGTAATCACCAGATGGTATGTAAAATTTAAAAACAAAAAATCACGATCTTCATCTCAGATCCCGAACCTTAAATACCCCCACTGACAACTAGGTGTCACCGTTTTGTTTGGTTGTGGTTGGAAACACAATTTAAATGAATATAAGTTATTTCTATTTAATATTTTAAATGCAATAGTTAAATAAACAATGTTACATGTACATGAAGACTTATATAATGCTTTATATAACATTACGTGACACTCTATTTTTTATCAGTTTGAAATATATTTAACTTTTTCATCTAATCTTTTTTCTCCGCATCATTTCGATCACTTTTTCTTACTATTTTTTCTGTACAAACAGTGAAATCCTAGTTAAAATGGAACGAGAATTTAGTCAAAGTCTTGATATCATTTATTTATTGAAAATTGTGCATGTATAAATATCAAGACATTTAGCTCATGTTTGACAACCGTTATCTTAAAAGTCTTTAATTCTCGTACTCACTTTCAATTATATATTTAGCCATTGTTTGAGCCCCATTTTTTCATTAAAATGTATTCTTGAATAGTGATTCAACCACATTCTTCAATAAAATAATATTATATGTAAATATAATTTTTTTTTTCTTATTTTTAACTACTTATTCTCCATCATAACACTATTATAAAATATTTAAAAAAAAAAAACAAAAATGGGGTGCAAACAACCCCTTATTCAATAAAAGGAAAATGTTGTTTATACAGAAATTTTTTTTACAGAAAGATTACAGACACTCACTGACTCACATGGGGGTGGGCCTGATGTGAATTAAATATTGTCCAAAAAAATTGGGCCCCCACCCATTGGGTGTAATCTATAGGTTGTTTGTATGTATTTTTTGGAAAAAAGTTCATGGATCAGGTATTAACTTTGTCAAAATTAAAAATCAGGTGCTAAATTTCAAAATTGCAAAAATCGG